AAAACAACTCCACTTCATGCTGGCTTTATTCTATAGCTATCAAATCTGTTCTTTTACATCCGGGGTGAAGTACAGTTCCAACTGTACTTCCATGCCCGCTCAGATGTAAAAACCGCAGGTCTCATCAACTAAATACACCCAATAAAGCATATTTCCAGGCAGAGAACCTACCACTTCAGAAAGGATAACATCCTCTATATCAAGGACAGATACTTCCCTGTGGCATAGCACAGTGGATCACCGGATAAGAAATCTGGGGGAGTGTGTATACTGTTAGCATGTTCATTACCTTGTACATGCTCTAAGTCTACATAGGAGAAAAGGGGACATTTCAATTTTGGAAAGGCTAAGCTGATGGTTGGTCATCAGAAGGTTTCACTTACCCAAAAGCAACCAGATAACTTTTCTAGGAAGAATCCTTCACATGCTAGAGGAGTTTACAGGTCTCCTGCTTCTGGGTGGGGACTTTAATTTTATCCTGGACCCCAGGTTAGATTAAACCAATAAAACCACACACCTGTCTTACACTTTTCTTAATCTGCCTCACCTCCTGTTCATTCATGATTGTGGATATAGTAAACGCACTATAGCCACATGTTGTAAATGAACAGGAATCCTCTGTACTGAGTTTTTCTCTTCATTTATATCAGCGGCTGCAGAAAAAGAGATTGAGGACTCTATGTCCTCAATCTCCTTTTCTATTTTAAAGGGGAAATATCAGGGGACTCTTTAGATCCCTAATATTTCCCCGAAGCCCCTAAATATAAAGTAAAAAGTATTTAAGAAAATCTAAAAAATGTTTAAAGGTTATAAAAAGATATTAAAAATAAAATATTTTTAAAAATTAGAACAACATTTTCGGTTCAACATTTTTTTTCATTTCGGCGCATCTCTAGTCTGGGAGACTCAAATTCAACACAGAATACCGGTCAAGTATTGGTTAAATGGGGATCAGCACACACTCGCTGTCTGATCTCACCTCTAGTGAATGAACCTGGAAGACTTAAGGATTTAAATCACTTCCTCTGCCTGCTGTGGCCACAGAAGAAACTGGAGAAGATCTGCATTTCATTAGCTTCAGTTGGGTCAATAGGTAACATTAGAAGTCTAATAGATCCCCGGGGTCTCCATAAAACGGACCTTTATTGCCAATTTGCTAACCTAACAAATACGCATAGTATGTACCTACATGCAAAATTGATGATTGCCCCCACACCCTGCATATCACCGCGATGTTGGAGTGAGAGCAATACTTTTAAGGCTACAATCACTGACTGTTAACTCTAAATTTATAAGCTGTACAGGCCTTTAAAGCACCGCCGTAATTATCGGTACCATAGTTTTTTGCCGCTTCACAGGTGCGCACAATTTTAAGGCTTTTATATTTTACCCCCCAAAAAATAGAATTATATTGTATTTGTGTGCACTAAAATTCATTCAATTCGCTAAACATTTGAGAAAATATTTGGCGACAAAAAAATGCAGCTAGCATTTTCTTATTCTACAGTGCTCTGTTTTCAGAAAATGTATAATTGTTTGAGAGTTTTAAGCAGTTTCTAGTCAAAAATTTAGATTTTAACGTCTGCAGAAAAAATAAAAAATTGCTCCAGTCCTGAAGTAGTTAAACAAGACCAAAGAAAAAAAGGCAACTTCTCATAGCTGGTTAGCTGGGCAAGTGCAATATTGTAAAGATGGACATGGTCAGGCACCGTATGTACCTACTACAAGCCATATATCCCTCTCTCTTTTGGCCTGATGGTTCAAATCCTGTTTACAAATTTTGCCTGGGCAAACAAATCAAGAAGATTTACATACCCCACTCTATGCCTGGGCAAACAAAATCAAGACGATTTACTTAACCGACTCTACGATGACCAAAAAACAAAGGAGATATTATCCTGGCAGACCTCAAATTATATTACTAGAAAAGTCCAACTGACATGATCGATTGGTGTAGACATAATTGCCATTCAGCAATGGGTAGATATGGAACAAACCTTCTCCCCGATCCCACTTACAATTCTCCCTTGGTGCCCACTTGACCTTAGAGGTCACATTAACATCACCCTACTCAAAAAAATACCTAGCAAATATGCCGAAGAGTGTTTTCCTTTCCCTGTCTCCTTCCTATAATTCAATAATCTGGCACTGGAACCTGGCCCAGCACAGCAGATAAAAATGTTCCTCCTCTTGAAATGCAGCAAGAAGATACTGAGCGACTCATTTCACTAAGCAGTCCTCCTGGCCCTCTTGTTCAGACCCTAAGATGCTGAATTGTGCTCCTGGCAACTCCATGCAATATGAGTACTAAATGTAACCAACAGACCACACCTTCCATGGCTCTCTCTATTGGAAGGCTTCCAAAAAAATACATTTTCAAAAGCTGAACTCCAGTAAAAATAAAAATTGACCCCTGAATTGGAATTCAGCAGCACTGCAAAGGGTTAATAATTTTTTGTTTGCGAGGGAACAAAAAAAAAAAAGTTGAGAGATTATCGTACGATTTTCGTATGCGATCGACTTTTCGGCCAATAATCGTATGTGTGCATTGCAGTGTCCGACCGACAGTACTGTACAAATCGCACGACTTTTTGACGGTCAAGCATGTTTGAAAACTTTGCTAGATCGTACGATTGTCGGAAGGTTGCTGGCATTTCCGTCCGTCAAAAGTCGTACGATCTACACTGCGCTAACGAAAATACGGCAAATCAATTAACGCATTTCGTCTAGGTGCTTTTCGTTAATTACGGCTAAATTAATCTTGCGATCATCGGGGTAGGATGGGGCTGTCGTACAGAAATTGTACGACTATTCGATCATCGGACGAAAAGTTTTGTCCGATAATCGTAAAGGTGTATGGACATCTTTATACTTAAAGGAGAACTATAGGGTCAGTGTTTTTCACCATAGTTCTCCTTAGGGTAACGGGAGGACACAAACCAGTGTCCTCCCGTTACCCTAAGCTCAGTATACCGCGAGCTACAGCTCGCGGTATACTGAGACGCCGCACCTGGAGCGGATCCCGACTTAGATGACGGGATCCGCCCAGCTGCGTGAGTGACAGCTGGCTCTGCCTATCTAGAGGCAGAGCCAGCTGTACCCGACCCCTCCCCCATCCGTTCCGCCAGTCAGCGCTGGCAGATCGGAGCGGGGAGAGGGGAATCCAGCCCCTCCCCCTGTCACGGCAGAGAGCCGTGACAGGATCGAGAAGCGAGCGAACCCGGTATGTGACAGTCTCATTGTCACAGGTCGGCTAGAACTATGAGGTGAGTGAAAAGCACTCACCTCATAGTTCTCCTTTAATGCATTCCTTACGCCCGCAGGCTCCCTCCCCTCCCACCTGCGTGACTGATCTTCCAAAGCTGCTTCCCTGCACCACTCTGTTGGTTACAGGCGGTCTGATTTCATCATGTACAATGCAGGACCAGCAGTCCTGCCCTGTAAGAACATTGAGGGCCAACCCCCCACAAGACAAGAGCACTAGCAGCCAGGGATGTGAACGATACAGCAAGCATAATTGCTTCTTTTAATCCTCCTAGACAAAAACAGGCACTTAACCCTTGCAGTGCAGATGGAGCCCCACTGCAAGGGTAATTTTTTCGATAAAAGCCACACTGAATGCATAGCTGCTGGTGTGCGGCGAGAGAAATAACGTGGTGGTGTGAACTGAGGTGATTAAAAACAAGGCTATTGCCTTGTCTGTGCTTTTGTGCTGGGCTGACAAAGGTGTCCAGTGCAACTCCAACACATCTGGTGTGAATTGGCCATTGGTCCAGTAGCAATTTCTTGAACAAATTATAAAATAGGTTTTAAAGCGCAACTGAAAAATACCTTAAATCTATTTTATATTGGCCACTGTACAGTAGAACTCAAATCTATCCCTTCCTCTCCCAGTCTGATCACTCAGGAACAATCACATTGCGCAATCCCATCAATATAATGCATACATGAAGAGTAGAGACCACAGTGTGCTCCTACATTGGCCAATCAAGGTGAGAGATGGGAAGGACAACACTTTGCTGAGGCGCTTCAATGGGAGTGTGACCTCACCTCCAAATTATTTCTTAATGCTAGAACAATGTATAGTACGGTTTTCTGTGCTGGCCAGCTGCAACAAGTGCAGAGAAGTTTCCGGAACGGTGGCCAGGAAGGCGATATTGATGTAATTACTGTAATAGAAAGTTCTGCTACCCTCTTGCCCATGCTGTGTGGTAATGTATAAATCACAAAAGTGGCTGAACAGAATTACAAATCTATTTTGACATCAACAGTTTACATATGTGGATTTTATAAAGTGTTTAGGTTTTAATCTGCGTTTGGCTGTTTTTTGCTCACTATAAAGGATTTCTTTGGGGCCTTTTTAGTGTTTTTATGCATTATATTTTTTGACTGAACATTTTCTACTATACATTCATTTTTGAAGCTGTTGGAGCAGACCGAATCTGGAGCAGATGTGCGCAGTAACTAATCAGCTTCTATCTTCAGCTGGTTCAGCTAAGCTTTGCAAATGAAAGCTGGATTCGGATTAGTTGCCATGCACGGTTGCCCAAGATTTATCTGCTCCACTCTCAGTAAATTCCCCACAATTCCTCTTTGCATGTAGTCCTTGTGAGGGGAATTTACCAAAACTGGAGCAGGCAGAATCTGGGGAAGCTGTGCACAGTAACCAATTTCTAACCAGCCAGCCAGCCAACCAATTTCAACCAGCTTCTATCTTCAGCTCGTTCAGTTAAGCCTCGAAAATTAATGCTGGATTCTGATTGGTTGCAATGCAAAGCTGCTCTGGATTTTGTCTCTTCCAGTCATAGTAAACTTCCCCTCAATTCCTCTTTGCATGTAGTCTGTGTCTTTTAAACCCTTGGCAAGATGTAGACAACAATCTCAAAACCTCAGTATGGGAATGCAAAGTGAGAGTTGATCCACAAGCTGAGCAGTTTGGTCTATGGTTAAACAGACATTTTATAGTTCCAATATGGATGTTCTTGTAGTTGTATCATTACCTTTTATGGTACAGGTGAATTACAGGGAAATAGAAGAAGTTTTTTTGCTTCCTGCACTTTCCATGGTGCCACCAGCAGTTGACAGCCACAAACAGTGCCTAAGGGAAACAAAAAGCACATAAAGTAGGTTCAGCGGAATAGAACAGCTGCAAGAAAAAGTTTGTCAACACTGAAATTACTAGGGTTTGTGCATGAATAACTCTCAACATGTGCCTGATCTTCAAATAAACTCTTTCAAACGAATCTTTTGTGTCTTATTGAACACACTGTTGAACCAACCTGCCTGCCTACCCCTGTCCATAGCAACAATTACCTCACCAAGCATTTGCAAAAGCTTCTGAAAAAAATAAAAGAAATGTTAGCTGAATGTTTACATTCTTTCCCCCTATCACACGGTATCAGTTGATTGATATATCCTGCATTCCTTCTTTATGTCACATCATTTCACATGGGTTGGGTTCTGAACTATTCCTGGGCCCTTCCACAATACAAATATACTTGTTGATTTACTTCTGAGGTCTCCGGTCATGGTTCCTTTGCATCACCGTTTTTTGCAGTTTTATTTTGTAATATGATGCAATCTGTAATGTATATTTCCTTCTATGATATAGAGTTGCACAGGCTTTAAGGCAGCCCCAACCCTGGTTGCTATCGCCAAAACTTAGCAACGCTGTTTAACAAGCCCAAGTTTTCTGAAAAAAAAACCCACAATACAATACCCAATATTTTGGTAAAATATAACATGTATAACAAATATAGTATATTAGTACTATTAGTATTGCATAACAAGTTATTTCAGCCTGTAAATTCTTAAGACCACTAAACTGTAGCTCTGATGACCAACAGAACAGATTGGGGCATCACCATCATTTAAATTATCTGGCCATGTGCCACAGGGAACTAGCAAGAAAATCACTAATTTGACTTGCCTCTACAGTGACTATGCTGAACATGCTAACAGCAACTAAATACATACTGATACTTGAGGAAACATGCCAATCACCTGTATTTAACCAATTACCTATTGTATTATAGGGGGGAGTTATATCCACAGCATCATTTCTTGACAATGAGTCGGAGACTAATGTTAAATGCTGGGCATATAGTATTACTCTGCATTCATTTTTTAGCCTGGACTAGAAAGAAGGAATATGGAATCAGACTAAAATGTATTAACGGCAACACATTCCCCTTACCTCAATGTTTAAGCATACTTAATATGTACATACAGTACTATGCAGATGTTTTAGGCAGGTGTGAAGAAATGCTATAAAGTGAGAACACTCTCAAAAATATATATTTTTTGTTTATTTTTATAAATTTTACAAAATGCAAAGTGATTAAAACAGAAGAAAAATGTAAATCAAATTAATATTTGGTGTGACTACCCTTTGGCAAACCAGCATCTGTTCTTTACACTTGCACAAAGTCAGGGATTTTGTAGGATTAGGGTCAGGTGTATGATTAACCAATTATACCAAGCAGGTGCTAATGATCATCAATTTCATATGCACGGTGAAACACAGTCATTAACTGAAACAACTGTGTAGGAGGCTTAAAACTGGGAGAGGAACAGTCAAACTCTGGATGTGCTGTTTAAGCTCTTTTGAAGAAGCACAAAGAAAACGGGCAACGCTGAAGACTGTAGACACAGTGGTCGGCCAAGGAAACAATGCAGCATATGAAAGACACATGGTGCTTACCTCCCTTCGACATTGGAAGATGTCCAGCAGTGCCGTCTGCACCGAACTGGTGGAAACCAATGGGACCCAGGTACACCCATCTAATGTCTGGAAAAAAGTCTGGCCAGACGTGGTCTTCATGGAAGAATTACACCCAAAAAGCCATACCTCTGATGTGGAAACAAGGCTAAGCGACTCAACTATGCATAAAAACATAGGAACTGGGGTGCAGAAAAATGGCAGCAGGTGCTCTGAACTCAAGTCAAAATTAAAAATTTGTAGCAGGAGGCACTTTGTTCACGGAAGGGCTGGAGAGCAGTACAATAATGAGTGTCTGCAGCAACAGTGAAGCATGGTGGAGGTTACGTGCAAGTCTGGGGCTGCATTTCTGCCAATGGAGTTGGAGATTTGGTCAGGATCAATGGTGAGAAATACAAGCAGATACTTATCCATCATGCAATACCATCAGAGAGGCGTGTGATTGGCACCAAATTTATTCTGCAGCAGCACAACGACCCCAAACATACGGGCAATGTCATTAAGAACTACCGTCAGCGTAAAGAACAAGGAGTCCTGGAAGTGATGGTTTGGCCCCCACAGAGCCCTGATCTCAACATCATCGAGTCTGTCTGGGATTACATGGAGACAGAAAGATTTGAGGCAGCCGACATCCACAGAAGATCTGGGGTTGGCTCTCCAAGATGTTAGAAACAACCCACCTGTCGAGTTTCTGTGTGCAAGTGTGCCTAGAAGAATTGATGCCGTTTTGAAAGCAAAGGGTGGTCACACCAAATATTGATCTAATTTGGAATTCTCTTCTGTTCATTTACTTTCCATTTTGTTAATAAAAATAAACTATTAACACTTTTATTTCTGAAAGCATTCTTACTGTACAGTAATTTTTACACCTGCCTAAAAGTTTTGCACAGTAATGTACATACATAATAGGTCCTCCATGTGTATTGAGGAGCGCATAGAACAAATGTTTACATCACTTAATGGTATTTTAGAAACTTTTATTGGTTAAGAACATGATACAGCCAACATGTCATAAGGAAAAGGCCTCTCCCTTCTTCAGGGTTTGTAGCAATGGATATGTTATCAAACCTAAAATTAGATACTGTAGCACATTTCATTGTAATTTCATTAACATCCATTGCCCAAGCCCTGAAGAAGGGAGAGGCCTTTCCCTTATAACATGTTGGCTTTATCTCATGTTCTTAACCAATAAATGTTTCAAAAAGACTTTTTAAAGGATTTGAATATTTGGACTGGGCGCTCCTCATGCACATCCAAGAGATGATTGCCTGTTAAGCAATGTATTTATCGTGACTAAAGAGGTAGACTAGGACCAGAACAAGGTCTACATGCGCTATACTTTCAACGCAGATGTGCATACTGGAGTTTTAGACATTATATGGACCTGAGAAGCATAGGTAATAAGTATTTATTTTCTATGCTCCTCAGCACCATCCAGTGGCCATAATGTGGTATTTACCTGATATTACATTCGACCTGAAAAAAAAAAATATGCTAACAACATTTCGGTTAGCCTCCACTGCACATGCAATTTTGCAGGGCAAATGGATCTAAAAAATGTTTATCAATACACTCAAGTGTCAGGACAAGGTAAAACATTTTTAAAAATGAGTACATCTCTGCAATATATGGACATTTGCACAAGTTTTATCTCTTTAAAAAAGGCTAAAAGTACAGATAAATACCTGTTGATCTAACACACATTTAGGAACTCCTAACTTTGTTTGAGCTAACAATACATTGCCTCTATTGTACTGTAACTCCAAGCAGCATTGTCAGCCCTGCTGACTGGAACACAGAACTGTCTGTCCCAACCCTTGACTCCCCAAACCCTGCCTTGGTGCAGTGTGTAATGAAAGGGCTTTTGGAGGATTTAGTTCTAGGAATGTGCCTATGTCAAAAGGAGCCGAGCTCCAAGCAGCTGCACATGCAAAAATTGGGGGTAATGCCTGGAACGTATACTTTAGGCAACATGCATTGGTCCATTCCTTTAGCTTTTAGTAGCCTCTCTTAATGTGATAGAGATGTCCCGTAAATGACTATGGGTCCGCCATTGCATGCAGGAAATGGGAGTTCAAGGTTGAGATGAGTAAATCAATTTGGAATCTGCTGAAAATCAGGAGGATTGGCGAATTTATAAACTTTCCAAACTTGATTCAGTTGAATTAGTCCAATCAGACAGCTAAATTCACAAATCACAACAATCATGATTCATGAACTGCAATGTTTTCTGTCAAGTGAGCACATAATCAAAATACATGAGTGCCTTAAAACTAGTGACCTTTTTGGTACCCCAATATTTTTTTTATCGGTACTCGCCAATACAGAGTACCGATACCGGCATCCCGAGGTAGCGTAGGCCCGGCTTCCCGGCCAATCAGGAGGTCATGACCCCACCACCCAGCTTCCAGATTCCTCAAGCTGTTCCATCAAAAGCACACCAGCTTCACACTCCCTCGCGACACTGTGAGCCAGCCTGGCTTCCTGACCAATCAGGAAGCCAGGCAGCGGGTCATGACCTGCCACTCAGCTTCCTGATTTCTCAGGAAACCATGCTGCCTAGCAGTGTTGCTAGACAGCATAAAGCCAGCTTCCTAGCCAATCAGGAAGCCGGGAGGCGGTCATGACGTGCTGCTTGGCTCCCTGATTGGCCAGGAAGCCCGGTTGCCTTGCAGAGTGGCTAGGCAGCGCGATGCCGCCTTCCTAGCCAATCAGGAAGCGGGTCCATGCTTCCTCGCGGCACTGCCGGTCAGAGGGAATCTTCCAGCATCGGGGTATTGGGATTTGCCTCTAACCTCCAATTCCAGTGTCGGGGTAAATAAATCGGAGCATTTGGGGGAGTACAAGTGCTCAGTATTGGTGCATCCCTAATTATAGTCTGCCAAATTTACTAATTCCACAGCAAATTGGACATTATTAGACTTGTGTATAGCACAGGGCTTGCCCAATTCAAATGTAATTACAGTACTTGACTTCCGTAAAAACAACTTATCACACCCAACTTGCTAAAGTGATATTACCTGGTCTGCAAGCCTACCAGCAACTTGTTCAATTTCTGCCCTTGTGGCAATGGAATGCGCACACCACGGAGCGTACAGGAAATACAAGGTTATCTCGGATTCCTGGCGAAGATACTCAGCATAGTCAAGCTGACCAAGAAAGAGATCCACCACTGGTGACTGGGTGGAGAAAAAGTGCACAGGTGGTCTTGCTGGCATGATGACATCTTTAGCTCGACTGGAACGAGAGGGAAGGGGAAAGGAGGAAAAAAACATGTAAGCCATAGTGCATACCAAAGATTAGTACACGTGAATCCAAGCTACAACCAGGAACCGCAACTTTACCCAATACCAAGATGTCCAGCTATAAAACAGCGGCATGGCCTTACCGCAGACATACCAAGTCATGTGACTGTTCTCTCCTCCTATCACAGAACCTTTGCTATGGTGTTTAATGAGAACATAATGACTGACACGGCAGGCTCCACAGGGCAGCTTACATAGCAATATCTGTTTTCTAAATAAATTCCCCCCTAAAAGCTTTTATCCAGAAACATTTCCAAAACTTGCTTTGCCCCCCCTTTATTATAACACATTGCCACATAACAGAAGATTGGTGAGGAAGGAAGCAAGGACAAACACCACAGCTTTTATCTTTCCATTGACAGTTCGTAATGTCTGTTTATTATGATGTTACTCCCTCCTCTTTATTACCCAGAACACTAACATAACTCTGTGTGGAAGTGCCTTGGGGTGAACTATTCACCTCACTGCGTAGTAACACGCTGAAGTGCATAAAGTTGAATGAAAATGTTAATTTGTGACAGACGTAAACAGTGTGATATGTAGTAACACTGTCCCTACACAACGTATACCAGCACACACATGTTTTACTATGTGGGCTGGTGTAAGCAAGACATGAAGTAAAATTGTAGCACATCTTAGCACAGGTACAGAAGTGCACAATGCACACGTTATACGCACCATTTAGGGCCCATTCTCAGTCACCGCACGTGCCTGCAGGGTGGGGGGAGGAGCGTGCCCCTGTTACAACACAAGGCACTCGTTTGTTTTTTTAACTTTAGGGCCCATTTGCACGCTCCTCGATCAGGGAGAAAAATCAGTGTTTTGTCGCAAGCAGAAATGCGTCCATCGCAGGAAATACTACATGTGCTACTTTGGGGCAGATCTCAGTGCGTTTTGTCCCATAGACAAAATGGAAAACGCTTGAAAAATGTGCATTGCGATTTTACACACGTTTTGCCCATTCACATGAATGTGCCAGAAAATGTTTACAAAACCACGTTAAAAAACGCACGTAATAGTTGTCGCCTAGGTGTGAATCCAGCCTTATAGAATTTTGTCAACGTGAAACTTCATTCCATCCATGAGTCTGTGGTGTGGAAACAGATGGCGACTTCAGGTAAACGTTGCAGAAAGAGGCAGCGAGTGTTTATTTTACACAATTGGACAATCATGGAAAGCGATGCATTGCGTGTTTAGAGATTTGGTGCGGCGGGCATAGAGCTTGTGTGACGGAATTGATGATTTGGCACACAGAACATGTGCCAATATTTACAATAAAAAAAACAAACAATTACTCTTTCCCTTTGTTTCTGCGCGCGCCATTGTTTACAGCGTTTATCTACATAGAGAAGAACTGACAGAAATGTCATCATGCATGACAACACTCCAGACAACACGGGGTACATGAATGACACCACTCCAGACGACCCGGGGTACAGGCATGACACCGCTCCAGACGACACGCTGTACATGAATGACACCACTCCAGACAACATAGGGTACATGCATGACACCACTCCAGACAACAAGGTGCATACATGACGCCACTCCAGACAACACTGGGTACATGCATGACACCAGACATGGGGTACATGCATGACAACTCCAGACGACCCGGGGTACAGGCATGACACCACTCCAGACGACCCGCTGTACATGAATGACACCACTCCAGACGACACGCTGTACATGAATGACACCACTGAGTACAGGCATGACACCACTCCAGACAACATAGGGTACATGCATGACACCACTCCAGACAACAAGGGGTACATACATGACGCCACTCCAGACAACAAGGGGTACATACATGACACCACGCCAGACATGGGGTACATGCACGACACCACGCCAGACAATACGGGGTACATGCATGACACCACGGAGTACATGCATGACACCACTCCAGACAACACGGGGTACATGCATGACACCACTCCAGACATTCTCCTGGTGTATGGGCCGCTTTAGAAGAAGTGACACCGGAGATGGTGACAGGTCTGATACAATGATGACACGCACTACGATCACTGGGAGGAACAATGACAGGTCAGGGGGCGGCAGGCACAGTGTGACCCCACAGTATATACAGATCAGGTGAGTTGT